GAACTGCGCCAGATGCAGGTGGCCCTCCTGGCAGGCCAGGTAGAGCGGGGAGGCGCCGCTGCGCGTCCGCCGGTTCACGCCGCTGCGGGGGAGGCCGGGCTTCAGAGCGCGCTCGGCCGGGGGTCTCGGGGAGCCGCTCTGGCCTAGGGCCCAGATCGGGCGCGGAGGCCGGGCACCTGGCTCTTTGCGGCCACCCCCTTACCCGGTGAGGGGCCTAGACGGCCGTGGTCCAGGTCGCGCGCGCGGCCCAAGGAATCCAGCTCCCCCAACTCGCCGTCAAGCTGTGAGCGCCGCAGGGGGTTGGCCGGCAGGGGTCTCCTCTTAGGGTGAATGGCCCAGCGGGGCCCGCCGTGGGCAGCTCAGGGAACCTCCGGACCCGGAGCCTGCTCCGTGCAGGGGGCCCTTGTGAGCAGGACACTAGCCTTTCAGGGCGCTCGGCCTGGCACCGGTATTCCAGGTCCCCGTGTGGACCGAATGGGCAGGGTCGTCAGGTTTCCGCATCCAGCCTTGCCTCCATGTGGTCGCGGGGCCAGGTGAGTTCTCGGTGCCCTGCGAACCGCTGCAGGGAGCGGCAGCCCCTCCCCCAAACCGGCCCGCACGCCCTGTTGACAAAGACTTCCGCTCGGGCTCCTGCGGTCTGTGCCGGTGGGCATGTGGGCCCTGGGGCAGCGGACCATCCCCGTGCATGTGGGTGTTTTAATGTGAAATCTCCCGGTTTTCAAATGACAGAAAGTACTTCTAAAACTGCCAGTCTGACAGACACTCTGCGGGCGGCCAGGCCCGGGGCAGCCGGTGTGGACTCTTTGGGGAAGACGCGCAGAAGCGAGTCTCAAAGGCCTTGGGGGAGAGGTCGGGACGGGAAGGCCCAGGAACAGCAGCATTGTCACGGGGTAACTAGGACGGCCGGCCAGCTAACAATAGCCCCGCAGGAGAAGAGGTGTGGTCAGAGGCAGACGCTCGGGGGAGAAAGGCCAGGTCGGGTGAGGGGTGGACAGAGTCCCGCTCCCAGCCAGGACAGCCGTCCTGCGGACAGACGGTGCGGGCGGCAGGCCACAGACGCCGCACCCCCTAACGGCCAGGTATACGCCCGGGTGTCTTCTGTGGGGCCAGGACCGCAGCCGTGCCCACGACGGGGAAGGGGCGGTGGTCTGCTGCCCCCCGCCCCCGCCTTAGCTGAGCCGGTCCCCTCCCTGCCTGTCCGCCTACTCGGGGCAGTGGGACCGGGCGTGTGGAGGGAGAATCCACTGCCCCCAAGCCCAGTGCTCTCTCTGCTCGCTTCGGGAGGCGTGAGCAGCGACCTTCGCAGCCCAGCGGGGCACGTTAGGCCCTGAGACGCCCCCAGGCCGCGGGCGCGTCCCCCCTCCCCTCCCCCCTCGCCCTCCCCTACCCCCTCCGCCCCTCCCGGGGGCCCATCCCCGTTCCCTTCGGCCCACCCGTCCCCGCCCCTCCCCGCCCTTCCCTGCCCCTTCCCCTCCCCGCCCCTCCCCCTCCGCGTCGCCTGGCCTCCTTCCCGCAGCCCGCGTCCCCCGGACGCCCCGCCAGGAGGCGCCGCAGCCCCTCACCTGCGGTGGGCGGCGGTCAGGAGCTTCAGGCAAGTCAGGTCCCCGCTGACTGCGGCGTGGTGCAGCGGCAAGGCCCCCTCCAGGGTCTCCAGGGTGGCCGCGTGGCCCTCGCGGAGCAGCCACTCCACCAGCGCCGGGTGTCCAAAGCGGGCGGCCAGGTGCAGCGGGGAGACGCCCGACGCGTCCTGGTCCTATGGGGGCGCAGGCGGCCGGTGAGCGAGCGGCGGGCCGGCCCGGGCCTACCGGCCAGCCGCTCAGGACCGCACGGCGCGGACCCGCTGGAGAGCTCCCACCCCTCCACCTGGCCCCAGCGCGGGGGTGCGGAGGGGTCTCCTGGACTGAGCCAGGCCGCCGGCTTGGGGTCACCGGCAGGGCCGGGACCAGTCAGGTTTGGGTCCAAACCCCTGATCCTGCACATGCGAGCCCCCTCCAGGCTGCAGTCCTGCCCTTCCCGCTCTCTGCTCGCCATCGGGGAGGCTCCACTAGCCCAACCTGCTCGCCTAGGGTGGGCAGCCTGCCCCGTGTCCAGGGGTGATCCAGGGGCCTCTGCCCCGCCCTCACTGAGCACCCACCCCGCTCCCTGAGTCCTCTTGCTGGGGAGCTTCTCCCCCGCGGGCATCCGCACACCTGGGCGTTCTCCCAGGCTCTGGACCAGCCCCGCTCCCGCCCTCGGGGCTGTGGGAAGAGCCGCTGAGGATGGCGGGGCTGTGGCTGTTGGACACTCAGGCTGTGTGACGCGTGGGTCTTCCCTCTCCTGGGACCCAGCGCCTCACACAGACGCCCACCCAGCTCTGGGCTCCGGGAGGGAGTCCTCTCTCCATCAGAGCTGGCTCGCACTGGGCTGGCAGGGAGAGGCGGGCAGGCGGGCAGGAGAAATGTCCGCAGGGAGACCATCACTGAGCCCCGGAGCCCCCACTGGGGTCCCTGAGCACCCGGGGTGGGCCAGCATCTCCTGAGCCCCAGTGCCTGCTGGGGTTGCTTGCCCAGACCCTTTTCTAGACCCTTTGGGAGCAGGCCCCGTGGATCAGGCCTGATAAGAAGGAGACCCCAGGAGACCCCACACTGGCAAGGCCGGGTGCTCTTGAGGGGAGGCCATGGGGTGAAAGGGCGAGAGGGGCCGCTCTGTGCTGGGCGCTGGGGAGTACCAAGTGGCTCAGGAGGTGTCTGTGGCTTCCGAGGGCCTTTTTTGGGGCTGGGGAGAGGCGTGGGGTGGAGACACGCCGCTGTGTGTGCCATGGGAGTCGTGTGGCCATTCGCCCGAGAGCAGCGGCCCAGGGCCCTGGGGAAGCCTGGGGCTCCAGACGCGGCTCTCGCTCATGCCTCCCCATGGACGCGGGCCCCGCTCACCTGCAGACCGCAGCCGCCGTGGCGCACCAGCCAGCACAACACGGCCAGGCCGCCGGTGGCCGCGGCGTCGTGCGCGGGGGTGGCCCCGTTGTGGGCACGCTGGTTGCCGGGCAGCTTGGCCCCCTGCACCAGGAACCTGACGCAGGCCAGGTGGCCTGCCCGGGCGGCGTGGTGCACCAGGCCGGCCCCCAGGGCATCGGTGACGCGCGGGCCCAGGGCGCCTGCCTCCAGCAGCTGCTCCAGGGTGGCCAGGTCCCCGTCCTTGGCAGCCGCGAGCACCCGCTGCTCCTCCATCCTCCGCCCCGGCCGCCCGGCCGGCTCTCTGAGGCTCATGCAGGCCCGGGGTTCCTGTTTCAGGCGGGGACGCAGCTCGCAGCTCCGGTTACCCGATAAGTGCGCACAGGGCAGATGGGAAGCGGCGGGGGTGGTGGTGGGGAACAGGCCTTGGGGACCGGGCTTTGCAGCCCTGCCGCAGCCGCTCCCGGGGCACCCAGAGCAGGGGAAGCGCCTGCATCATGTTCGGGTAGGAGGTGGGCACTGTCCTGTGGCTGGACCATGCCTCCCCTCACGTGGCTCGAGGGCTGGGACAGACTTCCCACATCGAGTGGGTATTCACAGTTAGTGTCCTTTCTAGAAAGTGGTCGGCTCCCGAGAGTCTGCTTCCTCCGGGCCGGGGACAGCCTCCGAGGGCTGTGCAGAGGCCTCCTGGGAGACAGACCCTTCCCCCAGGAGGGCAGATGCGTCCAAGGGAAGCCCTTTCTGGGCGTCTTACACCAGGTGCTGGAGTCTAAGCGTTTGAGCCCTGTCGCCCACAGGTTCCTGGGCCTGCTACCCCCGGGGCGCGCTCTCCTGGAGCCTGGCCTCGGCTAGCACGGGGCTCCTGCGCCTCTGGGTGGCAGTGGCTCTGCAGACCAGCGATGGGCCCAGGGTCTGGCCCTGGACAGGAAGGCCTCTGAGAGGAGGCTGAGGGCCTCAGGTGCCCTCCCCAGCCCACCCTCCAACCACAGGGCCCGGAGTCCATGGGCCCAAGCCCATCTTTCAGAGCTGCCCAGCATCTCTTCCCAGGCCGTCATCGGCAGTGGGGCTGCACACCCACAGGGCGTGCTGGTGAGCCCGGGGCGCCCTGGCCTCTGCCTCGAGCCCGCTGCATGCTCACTAGTGTCAGGGAGCTGCCTTGTGGGGCTCCCGCAGACATGATCTCAAGCTGAAGTCCTGGAGATAATGCGGGATTATTCAGTGACCGGTGGGTCTGACCCCACCCCGCAGCCAGCACAAACACCTGCTGCCCCCAACAAAGTGAAAACTAGAAAAACCACAAAGTGTCCAAAACGAGCATCGGCATCTTTTATTAGTTCATCTCATTTCTGACAGTTGTATTCTCAATGTCATTATGAAGTTCTCTGCTCCTTTCAATCACACATTAAATGTGTTGTTCAATTAAAAAAATCACTCCTATGTAAATGTCTCCACAGATAACATTTGCCATGAATCAGACACCCCAGAGCATCTGTGGAGATCCGAGAACCCTCCCAAACACACCTGGGGGGGAAGGCGTGAGGGATGGAGGCTCGCCTGTCCAGGGATGACTCAGATTCACAGGGCGCCTGCGGCTGATGGAGGAGCCGAAACCCTGAACGGGTGATCAGAGGGAAGGGGCGGCAGGGACCCGGGGGCCGGTGGGGAGGCGCCCAGTGGCCGACAGCCAAGGGACCGGCAGGTGACCAGTGGAATGGGCAGGGCGGGAAGTGCTGGGTGCCCCACGGGGAGGGGGCCTGACCGCAGCAGCCAGCCCCCGCCTCTGGAAAGGCCTTGAGGAGGGTCTGGGGGTGAGGCGACACTGCCCTCTCTGCAGACAAGTGCGAGGAGGCCAGGACAGCCCCTGAAAATCACGCTTCCTATGTTCATGGTAGCAGCTGGTGATAAATGCTAGGATTTTATCTTTCGGATAAAAATGCCACCTTCCAGGAAGGGGGTGCCCGTGACAAGCTCGCCCTTCCTCCCAGAGGAGAGCAGGGAGGCGGCTACGGCACTTCCCCTTCCCTGGGTGCTGTGGGGTGGCGGTGTTGGCACAAGGAGGGGCTCCCACGGGCACTAGGCCTGGCCCTCCAGCCGGGTCACTGCCTGCTTCAGGTCCTGCACGACGAGGTCCACCTCGGCCCGGGTGCTGCTGCGGCCCACGCTCAGCCGGATGGCGTTCCTGGCCACGTCGAAGGGGACGCCGCAGCTCAGCAGCACCGGGGACGGCCTGCGGGTGGGAGGCGGTCAGCCTCGCTGCCAGCAGGGGGGCCCCCTGCTCTGCAGGCGCAGACCCCACCCTGGAGGCAGCCACGGGCCCCTCCCCGGGAGAGGCCTCCATCCCCGCAGCGTTTCACAGGCTCGGGTCTCAGCAGGGCCGCCTGGCCGCCGCGGAGGCTGGGGGCTGGCCTGATGCACCGTGGGAGGCTGCGGCCCCTGGTCAGAGCTGTGTGGTCTCTCATGGCCCCGGCGCCTGGCCTCCCTCCACTGAGGGCCCCTGCTCGTCAGGACCCCAGCCCTGCTCTCTCCAGAGCCCAGGCCGCCTTGTCTGGCTGCCCTCCCACCTGCAGACACCCACCCAAGAAAGCAGACCCCTTCTCTCCTCCCGCTCGGCTGCTCCCAGAGCCTGAGCCCCCACACCAGGCCGCCCCCGCCTCAGCCTGCTCCTGGCAGGGGGAGAGATCTGAACTCAAATCTGCTCCCAGTTGTCTTGAGGCTTAAGTGGGAGCCTGCCGCCGACCCTGTGCCTCCAGGCTGCTCCAGGCTGCCCCATGCTGAGATGCTGCCCCATCTCCCGGGCCAGCCCCAGCACCCCCAGGCTGCAGCTCCCCCCTCCCCGCCCGCCTCCCAAGCGCCCGCGATGCCTGCTCACCGTCCCCCCACCCTGGTCCCCGCCAGGCCGCAGAGCTCCCCAGATACCGCGGCCATATCCATGCGGAGCACTCACCGGTCCCCGAGGTCCGAGTGGCAGGCGGCCCCCACGCTGGCCAGCAGCATCCGGCACTGCGCCAGCACCGCGCGGCCTGAGGAGACAGAGCGCGGGTCCCTGAGGGCAGGCCAGGTGGCGGCCGCCTCTCATCCCGGCTGCCAGTTTGGAGGCCCCTCCCTGGTGCCACCTGGCAAATCCCAGGGCAGAGGCCCCTCTGACCACAGGTGGGAGACCCCACAGGACCCAGGGGACGTGCTTCCTCCTGCCTCCTTCTGCCTCCTGAAACCAGCCTCGAGGACGCGGTACCCTGACAGGCTAGCATCCCGACGAGCTGCCTACTGAGTGCCGTGTTGTCCTGGTAAGAATGTCCGTCCTGACATCTCTGTGTGTTATTGGTGGAGACTCCGGGAGCTGCCTTTGTTAAGGCTTTGTTAAGCCTTCTTCCTTCACAAGCACGGAGATTTAAAAAAAAAACACACTGATGGAATTTCCCAGCGGTCCACTGGCTAGAACTCCACGTTTTCACTGCCAGGGCCCAGGTTCGATCCCTGGTTGGGGAACTAAGGTCTCACAAGCTGCATGGTGTGGCCAAAAGAAAAACACACCGGTGACAGCTGATTTACTTAGAACGAGGAGCCTGTCTCGTTTAAATTAACACAGGCCCTCAGGGAATATAAAGTCTGCCCCAGAAAAGGGGGAAAGGTACTTGAGGAACTCCCCTCCCACAGCCTCCTTCCCAGAGAGAACGCGTTCAGTCCAGTGACGGCCACCCCAGGGCCCCTTCATGGTCCGAACACGCTGCCTCGTTCCCCAGAGTGACCCAGGAGACCCTCGAGGCGATGAGCTAGTCTAAGAAATGAAAACCACTCCGTGCGCTCCGGTCACCAGAACCCCTCCCAAACAAACAGGATGCTCTGCCCTGGACAGCAGCCTCAGGGACTTGGGCGTCTGAGGGATGCATCACCCGAACCTGAACCTGTGCCCCAGGGTTTCTGGCCCGGGCTGCAGCGCAGCGACGGCAGCAACAGAGGAAGCCCGCATACCTGCACTTCAGCCTCCCTCCCAGCCAGGGCTTAGGAGCTCGCCTCTCCTTCCCCCACCCTCACACAGCGTTCTGTAAAAGTTGCAGACAAAGCTGGGCCCAGTGGCCTAATCTTTCGCTCATCTGACCTTCCCTTCCACCTCTGGGGCGGGCCCCTATGCGTGCTGAGCGCCTCTGCGTCTGCGGTCTCAGCACCCTGAGCCGGTCAGCAGCTGTGGTCAGAGCCTCTCGGACTGCACCCGGTGGGGTGAACCTGCCCCCAGCCCCCGACCAGCCCCCCGATGGCCCGAGCTGGGCCTGGCGCGGCCCAGCCTGCTCCCTCCTCACCTTGGAGCTGGGGTCCCCGGATGGAGAAGTTACAGGTGTTGGGGAGCCGCTCGGCGCCTGGAAACTGGCTGTTCAGATGCATTCTCTTACCAAATTCAGCCTGAAAAATGTACAGAGTGTGTTGTGTCTTTGAAGCCCCTCTCTTCACAACTGTTTGAACTTCAGACTTTCTGGAAAACAAAGCCTCACCCTCAACACAGAATGATTGTATTTTCTTGTTCTTTAGTAGCTAAGTCCTCTCCAACTCTGTGTGACCCCATGGACTGTAGCCCGCCAGGCTCCTCTGTCCCTGGGACTCTCCAGGGGATCTTCCTGATACTGGATGTGGGTTGCTATGTCCTTCTCCAGGGGATCTTCCTGACCCAGGGATGGAACCCACGTCTCCTGCACTGGCAGGCAGGTTCTTTATCATGGAGCCCCAGGGAAGCCCCACAGAATTATTTTTTATCTGTAAGTATCTCCTTATAATACTCAGGGAGACTGAGTGCGGAAGGCAAGGTAAATTGGAAGAGAAAGATTCTGAGGACACTTGGATCTTCTTCACAGGAGCATCAAGTGTCTCGTCCCTGGTATGTTTCGGTCGCGCATCCATGACCCCCGGGGGTCTGGGCCCGGCCTGTCGGGGCTCCGGGCACGGGCACTTACCACCAGCCTCTCCTCCAGGTAGTCGCGCACACCCTGCATGTGGGCCTCATAGGCCTCGCAGTTCTCTGCCACCAGCTCGGCTGCCTGCGGACACAGGAGGGCGTGGGGTGACGAAGCACCCCAGTTATGGTAAGATGGGGTGGGGGGTGCAGACAGCAGCGGAGGTGCTGTTTCCTGAGGGCAGAGGTGACGTCGCCTCTGACTGCTGCTTCCCTGGGACCTCACGGACACAAGCCGCGTGCCGACTGCCTGCCTTTTGCTTGTTGGCTGGCATCTGACAGCTGTCAGGCTTCCTGATGCCCTGGGCACTGTGGAGTCCCCAGTCGGTGACCGGAGGCTCTCCCAGCCCACTCTAGAGACAGAAGGACAGGACGGAGGAAGAGGCGGCCGTGTCTGACCTCGCGTGGGCGCTGTGAAGAGAGCGGGGAGCCTGGGGAAGGGCATCTGGGCGGAGCCCTGAAGAGGGAAGGGTGAGTGCTCCTGGAATGGCGTGAGCGAGAGCACGGTTCCCGGAGGCCTTGCGACGGCGGGCTCTGAGCCGAAACCTGGATGCTGAAGCTGGGTCTGAGCCGCCCGATCTGTGTGTTCACAGCTGGGTGCCGTGTGGAGCATGCACGAGGCGTCCACACAAAAGGTGGGGGTGACCCGGCCTAGGCTCGGTGGAGGTGGACAAGGGGCAGGCCTTCATCCGTGGCGGAGGCTGGACGGGCCGGGCCGGCTGCCGTGTCAGGTGCAGGGGGCGAGGACAGGGAGGACCAAGGGCCCCTCCTGGGTTTTTCAGCGAGAGCCCAGGTGACAAGGGGCACCCCAGGGAGAGAGACCAGGACACACCGTGGGCTGAGGAAGCAGGTGGGGACTTAGGTCTCCCCGGAGGTCAGGGTCTGCCCTGCGATGGCAGGTGGAAGACCAGAGCCCAGGCTGACGTCAGAGCCCCCGGGGGGTGAGCACCTCGCTGGGAGAGGAGGCTGGCCGGAGAGGAAGCAGAGAATGAGCCCGGCTAGGGCAGGGGTGGAGAACTGGCCCCACGTTCTCTGGAAGTCACAAGGCAAATGGGGACCTTCTCTGAGGCTTCAGGGGAGCAGAGCAAGCAGTAGACCTCAGGAGGAGGGGCGGGAGGGTGCGTGTAGGTCACTCCACGGGGGGCGGAGGACACCGGAAGAGGAACACGAGGATGTGGGGGGGTGGGAAGGGGGCGACAGCAGGAGGGGCCTGCCTTCAGCCACACAGGGAAGGGGCGGAGAGCAGTCGGGAAACCTGGACTTGGCCTCAATGGGTGAAGACACACACACCTCCCGGGGAAGGTGAGCAGTGTGGGGAGCGGGGGTCCTGGCCGGAGTACACGGAGGGGGTCCAGGCTGAGTGAGGAGCGATGATGGTGGGCCCCCCGCCCCGAATGACAGCAGGGTCAGAGGGGCCATGGCTGCTGCTGGGCTGCCGTCTGGTCCTCGGAAGGAACCTCCTTAAGAGGCTCCACTGTGTCCCCCTCTTCGGGGGTGGGCAGCCAGGCTGGGGGGGTGGGGGGGGGCAACTGGATCCAGGGAGGAGCAAACCTGTGGGAGTGATATCACTGTTTCTTATATTAGAAGACTCGAAAAGAGAGCCTTTTCCTTTCAAATGCTAGGTACGTGAAACCCACTCCACGGATCCTAAAAAGCATGTCTCCAGGTTGATAAATAAAATTCGAGGTTTCTCTTATTAATACACTGGTCCGTTTATTGGGGTCATGAACGTGACCTCCTCTGAAGCCCGGGCGGCCTACTGGAGCGGCTGGGAAACTGCTGTGAGCCCACAGAACACGCCCAGTGGTCTGCCCTGGCCCTGCAGAGACGGAGACCCGGGAGTTTCCCCGAGTCATCACGGCATGACGGAGCCGCCGTTATTCTAATTGTTGGCCTTGGACTCTGGTTCCCGATGCTGAGCTCCCAAGTCCCTTGGAGTTTCCTGGATGACAGGAGTGCTTCCTGCTCTAATGAGGTGACTCTGGGTGGGCTTCTAGGTGGGGGCTGGTCACAGAACTGGAATTAGAAGCGTGGGGTTTTCAGTGCCCTGGCCCCACCTCCAGAGAGGGGAGCGGGGCTGGAAACGAAGTTAATGATTGAGCGAAGCCTCCGTAAAACCCTGGGAGGATGATGGCTTCAGAGAGCTTCCAGGTTGCTGAACACAGAGGTGCTGGGACGGGGGCGCTGGCGAGGGCATGGACGCCCCTTCCCACATCCTGCCCTTCAGGGTGTCCATCTGCGTCCTTTATCACACCCTTTCATGGTAAACTGTTTATTGGGGTCAGCGGTCTAGTTCCTCTGAGTTCTGTGAGCTGCTCTAGCAGATCACTGAACTCAAGGAGTGGGTCGCGGGAACCTCTGATTCACAGCCAGTGGTCGCAAGCACAGGTGACAGCGGGCATCTGAGGTTGTTGGGGGTGGGGGGTCTTGTGGGACTGAGCCCTCATCCTGAGGATGGATAGTGTCAGGATGGGCTGAATTGCAGGACCCCTGGCTGGTGCCACAGGTGCGCTGGGTGGGGACCCCGCCCCCGCACATGGGGTGAGAGTGAGGAAGAAACGCAGGAGGAAGACTGAGGTTCCCTTGCATGCTGATGGACAAAGCGAGCTTCATCCGTCCAAGGTCCCCAGGGCTTACCTTCCCAAGGCCAGCAATCATCGGGGTGTTCTCTGTCCTGTAAAAGACAAGGGATTCAGTCCCGTTTCCATGCAAAGTAATTAACCAACATTCCTGGAAGAAATCCCAGCCATATGAAAGTCAGGTGTTCAATTAAAGACAGTCAGGCCAACATCTTTCCTAAACGAGGGCAGCTGCCAGCCCCCCCCCCCCCAGACCCTCTGTGGTTGTGGCCCGGGGAGAGCAGATGCGGTACACTCTGGGCAGTCTGCCCTGGCTGTCACTGGCTGGCCAAGTGACAGTTCTGTCTGGACCCTTCCCCTCCCCGCAAGAACCCCCCCTCTGGCTGCAGGCCCCAGAGCCCGTCACTTCGGTCCCCCTGCCAAACCCCGCCAAGGTCCAGGGGCTCAGTCCCTGCCCTGCTCCCTGCAGCCTCTCAGCTGTAATATGGGGTGAATCTTTGGTGACTAGAGATTTGGGGTGTTGTGTGTGTGTGTGTGCGCGTGCGTGCACGTGTGTGGCTGTGCAGGGGACAGGAAAACCCCCAAAGACCAGTGGTTCCCACGTGTTGATCTAACAAACTAAAACTACAACGCTTCACTCTATTTCAGGAAAAACCAAAACAGTAACTTAACTTTCTGCTTTGGCTAAATAAAGTTCTCTTAAACCTCTGGAGCTGTTTCCTGCTTGTTTACTAACAGCAAGATAAATGAACTCAGGTGAACAGCACTGACAGTACAGGAAATAAGGTCCCACTGACCTTGCCTGGACAGGTTTACTGGTCAGGCCTGTCCCCAAGACAGGCTCTGACACCTGGAGGGGGCGGGGCGGGGTGGACAGGGATGAGCCAGGGGCTCCGGGCTCCGTCCAGGGCTGTGAGACCTCTAATGTCACCCTCCTCTGTAGGATGACATGGTCGGACCTGATGCATCGCTCAAGTTCTGTGACCTGGGACTGCCTGGGGGTTTGGGCAGGGCGACAAGGCCGGGCCCCTGTAGGACCTGGAGCTGGCCCTGCACGAGCCCAGCCCTCCACACCCCCAGAGTCATGCAAACCTGCTCCCACACCTGTCCACCCATGGAGCTGCCTGTATGACTCTGGCGCAGCTGCGGTCCCGCCTCTTCTCCCTCCCCACCTTTTTCCTAGCATCTATTTATTTGGCTGCGTCAGATCTTACTTGCGGCAGGTGGGATCTCTGTCAGGGCGCACACGCTCAAGTTGTGGTATGTGGGCTTAGCCGCCCTGTAGCATGTGAGATCTCAGTGCCCGGACCAGGGATCGAACCCATGTCCCCTGCACTGCAAGGTGGATTCTTAACCACCGGATGACCAGGGATGTCCTTCTTCCTTTTTTTTGTTTCCCCTCTCTCCTTCCTTTATTCATAATTAATCTTTTTATTTTGAGAGAACATAGATTCACATGTCGTTGGAAAAAACAGCACAGAGGCACTCTGTGTATCCTGTACTCAGTTTCCCCAAGTGTTAATAACACTGCAGACCAGAATCCCAGCCTGGACACTGACAAGATAGAGACATGGCCACCACCACAAAGACCCTCCCGCAGTCCTTCTATAACCACGCCAACACTTCATCGCCCACACCCTCAGCCCCATTCCCTCCTTAATCCTGGAGGACGTTTCAAAGTTTGCCATGTAAAGTGATATCACAGAGTTTATAACTTGGAGGCCTTGGCTATTTTCGTTCGCCAAAGTCCCCTGGAGGTTCCTCCAAGCTGTTGTGTGTGTCCGTGGTTCCTTCCCCCTCATCCCTGAGAGGAGTTCCATAGCATGCATGTGCCCCTGCTGTTTAACTGCTCGCTCGTTAAAGGACATCTGAGTGGCTTGCAGTTTGTGGCTGTGATGAATAAAGCTGCTAAACACTTTTGGGTACAGGCTTTGCTTGTGAACACAAGTCTTCATTTCTCTGGGATAAATGTCCAGGAATGAAACTCCTAGGTTGTATAGTAGTTGCAAATGTCCAGGAATGAAACTCCTAGGTTGTATAGTAGTTGCATATTTCGTTTTTTGTTTATGTATTCTAGAGACGAGCCCTTTGGCAGATGTGTAATTGGAAAATATTTTTTCCTAATGTGTAGCTTGTCTTTTCATCCTCTTAACAAAGCATTTTTCAGGACAGAAGTTTAGATGAAGTTCATCAATTTTTCCTTTTATGGATGCTTGTGGTGTCGAGTCTAAGAAAGAACTCTATGCTTAGCTCTAGTTTTTGAAGATTTTCTCCTAAAATTTTTACGGTTTTATGTTTTACATTTCAGTTCATGATCTATTTTCAGTTATATTTCATAAGGTGTGAGACTTGGGCTGATTTCTATCTTTACCTGGGATGTCTAAGTGTTCCAGCAGCGTATGTTGAAAGGCTACCTCATAATAGGGGAATTACAGTAGCTTATATTTTTCGATGAAGTAGTCCACTCTTCATATCAAATTCATGTATGTGGGCTTCTTCACAGCATTCCATTATTCTTTCTGATGTTTGCAGGGCCCGCAGTGATATTTTGTTTCATTCTTGATAATGGCAATTTGTTTCTTCTCTCTTTTTGTGATCAGTCTTACTAAATTAAACATTTGCCAATTTTATCGATGTCTTCAAAGAGCCAGATCTTCAATTCATAGATTTTTTAAAATGATTTTTGCTCATAATTTCACTGATTTCTGTTCACATCTTTATCATTTCATTCTTTCTGTTTGCTTTGGGTTTGTTTTGCTCTACAGTTTCTAGGTTCTTCAGATGGGAGCTTACTGACCTGAGAGTCTTCACTGTATCTAACATATGCATTTAGTGCTGTACGTTTCCTCTCAGCCATGCTTTAATGGTGTCTCACAAATTTTGATAAGTGTATTTTCATTCATTTCAGTAATTTGCCCCATGGATTACTCATAAGTGTGTTGTTTCTAAGTGTTTGGAGATTTTCTTATTATCTTCCTGTTATTGATTTCTAGTTTGATTTCACTGTGGTTAAAGAAAACATTCTGTGTAATTTCAGTTCTTTAAATGTGCTGAGGTTTGTTTGATGGCACAGAATATGAACTTATCTTTGTGTACATTCCATGGCATTTGAAGAGAATGGGTATCTTACTGTTGTTGGGTAGAGAGGTCCAAACATGTTGATTAGATCCTGTTGATAGGTGTTACTGAGTTCTTCTGTATCCTGGCCAATGTTTGTCTAGTTGTCTACCCATTATTGAGGGATGGGTGTTGAAGTGTATGTCTGTAATTGTGGGTTTGTCTACTTTTCCTTTCAGTTCAGGTTTTGTTCCTCACATATTTTGAAGCTGTACTGTTTGTGCATCCACATTAGGATTGCCATGTCTTCTTGGTGAACTGACTCTTTATTCCTTTCACCCTCTGGTAATTTTCTTTGCCCTGGAGTCTCCTTTATCTAATGTTATGTACACAGTCCTGCTTTCCTTAGATTAAGATTAACATGAAACACTTTTTCCCAACTTGCTATATTTGAAGTGAGTTTCTTAGAGACAGCATATGGTTAGACCAGTCTTCAAAAATTTATTCTGCCAGCCTCTGCCTTTTAATTGATATATTTATTCCATTTATACTCAATGTAATAGTTGATGTTCAGGCTTAAGTCTGCCATTTTATTGTTTCAGTTTCTTCTATTTTTTCCTCTGTTCTCTTTTTTCTACTTTTCTGTGAGTTACTTAAACAGTTTTCAGAAGTTCAAGTAAAGAATAGAAAGTGTACCTCTTTATACATCTGTTATTCTTCCCCATTCACAAAATAATCATTGTAAACATTTTTTCCACTTACATTAAAAAAAAAAATTATTTGTTTTTGGCTGCGCCGGGTCTCTGTTGCTGCACAGAGGCTGCTCTCCAGCTGCAGCGAGCGGGGGCTGCGCCCTGCCGCCGCGCCTGGGCTCCTCGCTGGGACGGTTTCTCCGCAGCGAGCAGGGGCTGCGCCCTGCCGCCACGCCTGGGCTCCTCCCTGGGACGGTTTCTCCGCAGCAAGCAGGGGCTGCGCCCTGCCGCCGCGCCTGGGCTCCTCGCTGGGACGGTTTCTCCGCAGCGAGCAGGGGCTGCGCCCTGCCGCCGCGCCTGGGCTCCTCCCTGGGACGTTTTCTCTTGCTGTGGAGCACGGGCTCTAGGGTGTGTGGGTTTCAGTGGCTGCAACATGCAGGCTCAGCAGTAGTGGCGCATGGGGTTGGTTGCCCCACAGCATGGGTTATCTCCCTGGACCAGGGATCAAACCCATGTCCCCTGCATTGGCAGGTGGATTCTTAACCACTGGACCACTAGCGAAGCTCCCTGCACATACATTTTGAACCACATCAGACAGTGCTATGATTTTTGCTTAGGCTATCAAACATAATTTAGAAAACTCAAGAGGAGAAGGAAAGTCTATTTTATTTACCTATTTTCTTGCTTATCATGCTCTTTTCTCTCTATTTCCTTCTTTTACTGTTTCCTTTCTGTGTAAAGAACTTCTTTAGTGATTTTTAGCATAGGTTTTCTGGTGACAAATTCTCTTAGTTTTCTCTTTCATCTGAAAACATCTTGATTCCTTCTTTGTTCCTGAGGATATTTCTGCTGTGTACATGACTCTGGATTGACAGGCCTGCCTTTTCTTTGAGCACTTGGAAAATTTTGCCTTACTTCCTCGGGCCTCTGTGATTTCTGATGAGTAATCCACTGTCATTTTAATTATTTTTTCCCTATAGGTAAGGAGTTGTTTATTTTTTCCTCTGGCTGTATTCAGGATTTTTCCTTTGTCTTTCATTTATGGAAGTTTGTTTTTTCTGTCTTAGATTTCTTTTGGTTTACCGCGGTTGGGTTTTGTTCAGCTTCTTGAATCTGACTTGTCTCTTTGCCAAGTTCTTTTTCATCCCATCTTCCTTCTCCTCACCCTCTCAGACCTCAGTGAAATGAACGTTAGATTTTCTGTTGGTTCCACAGGTCCCTGAGGCTCTACTCAATTTTTTTCCAATCTAATTCCTCTCTGTTTTTTATATTGGTTAATTCTGTTCTTTCAGTTCACCGAGTCATTCTTCTGTTGCCCCGATTCTGCTGGTGAGCCTGTCCATGGCCTTTTTACTTTGTTTGTTGAAACTGTTTGTTCTAAAATTTCATTTTAGCTCTTCTCTACATTTTCTTCTTCTTTGCTGACACTTTGTGTTCATAATTGGTCACTAAAGCATTTTTATTGTTTTTGCCTTAAAATCTCTTGTCAGACAATTTGAATGTTTTTATCACCTCAGTGTCGGCATCTATTGATAGTTTCCTTTCTTTGGTTTAAGATCTTTCGGGCTCTCAGTATGATGAGTAATTTTAAACTGAAACCTGAATGTCTGTATGTTATTTTATGATTCTTGATGTTTGTTAACCCTTCTATAGTAGCTGGCACTTTCTGACCCTGCTCCTCACTGCCAGGCAGGGGTAGACGTCCGGGCTCCAAGTTCAGTCCGGGTCAACATCTGAGAGGAGCAGGCAGCTTGCCAGTGATGGGTGTGGGCTGAAGCCCAGGGTCCCCATGTGGTCCCCGCTGACACCGTGGTGGGGGCGCGTCACTGGCGGGGCAGACATCCTGGCTCCTCACTGGGCCCTGTCTGGCACTGGAGGCTGTGGGCTCCTGTCACAGCGAGTGTTGGTGGAAGTCTGGGCCCCTGGCGCCTTCGTGGTGCGGGTGCGGGTGGAGGCAGGTGCCCATGGTGGCAGCGGGAGGACAGCACGCATTGTCTAGAAGCCCTCCGTCTTGCTAGCGTGTTTTTTCCCCGCCACCAGCAGGAGAGCGGGCTCGTTGGGCTTTCTTCATCAGCCCTTTCTGGTGTTTATGAGTCGTTGGCTTCTTCTGCTCTAGTTCTGGAATAAAGGAGGCAAAAGAAACCCCAGGGACCCAGCGCATGTGCGGTCTCTCCCTCTTGTTATCACGTTGCTGACAACACGTGTGGTGCTGGCCCCACCTCCATTGCCTGCAAGTCATGAGGACACAGGAGCTTTCGGAAAGGAAGCCAGGTGCTTCCACGTGGCCCTGTGCACCTCCACAGTCAAGAGGGGGCAGCACATCTCAGCCAGGGCTGGGGGGGTGTGCAGCGGCCCCTCTATTGTCGGCTGGGCCCAAATAACAGAAGGAACTGGGCACACTGAAGCAGCCACGAGACAGACTGCTTCATCTGCTTTGAGTCCTCCCCAGCGAGACGGCATGCGTGTGAGTCCCACGCGCAGAGTCAGCCAGGGGAGCGACTTCGGACTCACTGGAGGGTCTATCACAGCGCTCCCAAGAGGCAGAAGGGCCACGGCATGGCCAGTGGGCAGACAGCTCGTTCACCTCCTGCCTTACCCTGGCCTGAAGTTCCTCTCTTGTCCGCCTCCAAACAGCATCGGGTACAGAGGGGTGTGCTCACCGAGCCCTCGGACGTAGAGCGCGCCAATCCTGGGGCCGTAGAACTGCAAGGAAAAGCCAGTCAGTCACTTATCCAACAAGAACCTTCGGGGACCTTCTCCTGCATGTGCTGAGAGCGACACGGAGATGCTCTGTAACGTGAGGGCCCTGCTTTCTGAGGTCTCGTGGCCAGGACCCGTCCAGACACGGGTGCGGGGCAGGCGCTGACTCTGGGCCCCAGCTTGGGGGTAGAGAGCACCTGCCTGCCGCGGGGGAGGCTGACAGACGGGCTGGAGCCAGAGGTGGCCGAGGGCTATCCTGTGGGCGGCCCCAGCTCTCACAGCCTCATTAGGGGTAAGTTTCACATGCCGGCGTGTCATGTGGGCACACTCACTCCCTTGGGAACCAGCTGGGAAGAAAGTACTGAAAATACTCCCGGTTCTCTTGGGTGCGGGAGAGAGACACAAGGGCTTCAGAAGGGACTTCACTGCTAACTATCAGAATTTCCCCAGCACAGCCTAGAGCTGAGGGTCGTTAAAACCACACCTTCACTGTCTGAGCTGCCCTGTGAGTCAGATTAGACGAGCCCTCACTGATGAGCCCTGCGCCTTCCGTCCCTGGCTGGGGGTGGGGGTGGGCTGGGAGCGCATAGAACACTCCGCAGCTGCTCAGTCACCCAGCCGTGTATGACTCCTTGTTGACCCCATGGACTGCAGCCTGCCCAGCTCCTCTATGGGATTCTCCAGGCAAGAATACTGGAGTGGGCTGCCATGTCCTCCTCCAGGGGATCTTCCTGACCCAGGGATCAAACCCGTGTCTCTTACATCTCTGGCATTGGCAGGCAGATTCTTTACCACTTGCGCCACCTGGGAAGCTGCAGAGAACACTCGCCCCCGGGCGAAGCCTACCTGAGACCACCCCTCCACCCCCTCCCTCCCCACCTCCCCACCCTCCCCAACCCGTCCACAGCTTGCCTGGCCACAGGGCCACAGTCCGCGTGGCACCTTGACCCAGGGCCTCGCTGGGCGGGCATGCTGGGCACTCCAGGTGAGGGAGGGTGAGTGGTGCCTTGGGCTCTGCTCAGGGGTGAGCCTCACGGGTGTTGAGGAGTCTCCCTGCGGGAGGGCAGGGGGCTGGGCGGACACACCTTGTGCCCCACGATGGTCAGGAAGTCCACGCCCAGGTCCCGCACGTCCACGCGCCGCTTCCCCAAGGCCTGGGCGGCATCCGTGTGCACGAGCACCCCCGGCAGCCCCCCCGCTGCCCGCTTCTGGTTCAGGGCTCGGACTCGCCGGCTGATCTCAGGCACGGGCTGGAGAGGGAAGAGCAGGCAGCGGGCTGGGTCACTCTGATTCCACAGAAATGGAATCAGAGAAATGAGGAGCCATGAACGAGGGTGCGGAGGAAGTTCCCAGACTAAAGACCAGAGGAAAAGGGGAGGCTGGGCCAGACGACCGCATCCCCACCGGTCTCCCCAGGAGGACAGCGACTCACCATGACGACGCCTGTCTCATTGTTGGCCAGCATGATTGTCACCAGGCACGTGGCCGGGCGAACGGCCGCCAGGATGTCCTCAGCCTCCACCTGCCCGTTCACCTTGGACACGTGGACAAAGGTGACCTCTGAGGAGTAAGACACAAATATGAGGTCAGCCCAACAAGGCCTCGTCTCTGGAACAGGACACAGTGAAAAAAGCAATTTATTGTAAAGGTTCAAAAGACTCTGAAGGAATATGAGCCACCCTTTGTCACCAGGCCCACAGACAATAGCTTGCAGGCTTCACCAATGAGCCTCAGTGGCGGGGTCTCTCTGGGGACCCTCTGTTCTCCTCTGAGGGACCTGTGAGCAACTGAGACACCTCAGTTCACAAAAGTATCTTGAGGTGCCAGCAACGTGACCTTCACTCACTCAGCGCTGACCCAGCCCTCCTTAAGCCCCTCCTGTGTACCCGGCACTTAGACCCCTGCTACTGCAGGTGGAAGAGAGGCAGGGTGACTAAGCCCAGGTTTCGGGTGCAAAATGCTGAAGACAACACACCTGCTTTCCCCCAAGGTCCCACTGAAATGAGAGAATGGATATATTTCTCAACATGGGCAGCACCTTGTGGATGAGGAATTCTGAGCCATGCCCAGAATACAGAGAGATGGTGGCATCAGATTAATGCCAACAGGGAAAACCCACCCAGGTTGCGGACAGGTGAAAACTAACTCTGTAAAGAGTAGGAAAGAACCTAGAGGTCAGCTGAGTTCAGGGTGTACACGCGGAGAGCTGGGGGAGTGCCGACTGCTGGGGCAGGCAGAGGACCAGGTTCTGACACCCAAGGACCTCCACCCCACTCCCAGAAGTGGGCAGCAGAGGCGCTAGCCTGGCCAGGCAGGCTCCCGGGGTGGGGGTGGGGGTGGGGGCGGGGGGGGGGGCAGCAAGAGATGAGTGCTGCTGGTGCCTCCACTGTGGGGCTCAGAGGGGAGCGAAGCTACTCCAGCCGGGAGTTTTGTCTCTTTATTACATACAGGAGCACCCACTCATCATCATCAACCCTCAGGGAGATGCAGATCAAAACCCACCCATTAGAGCCGCCTGCATACCTGCTAGGACGGCTGTAATAAAAAACACTGACAGCAGACAAATGTTGGCAAGGACCCAGAGAAATCGGAAGCCCAACCCCACCCCAGGCACCGCGGTGGGAATGTAAAATGGTGACACTCAGGTGGAATACAAAGGTTAGGGTTAAACAAGTAGAGCCTTGGAAAGGTGAAACACAGAATTACCACGTGACCCAGCAGTTCCACTCCTGGCAGATACTCGAGAGAAACAAAAACATACATCCTGACAAACACGTCTATACAAATGCTCCCAATGGCATTATTCATAATATTAATATCAAATGTTCGCTCCCAATGGCATTATTCATAATATTAATATCAAATGTTCATCAATGACGAACAGATAAAATGTGAATATCATTCATCCATAAAAAGGTAGTAAAGATTGGCACAGGCTATGATGTGGATGAACCTTGAAGACACAGTGCTAACTGAAAGAAGCCAATGACAAAGACCACGTATCCTATGATCCCCTTCACATGGGAGTCAGAATGGGCAAATCTCCAGAGACGACTATGGACCAGCTTGCCCAGGGGTGAGGGAAACAGTTTCAGCTACAGGTAACGAGGTCTTCTGTGGGATGTGAAAGGCATCATAACTGATTGTGGTGATGGTCACACAACTCTGTGAATACACTTTAAAACGACTGAAATGTACACTTCAAATGGGTTCAGGGTATAGTATGTGAGTTCTGTCTCACTATAAAGCGGGTGTTAACAAAAACAAACCCACTGGGACATTGTTGGGGTGGAGGGGTGGGAGACAGGCAAGGTCAAGACCCCGTTTCACACTTGGGCGTCAACAGACAGGTGCTCGAGTGATAAACCAAGAAATGGAGATTATGTTTGTAAGCAAGTAAGTATTAAAGTGGAAGCAGCTAAAATGATGATACTGAGTGGGAGAAAAACTGAAAGCAAACTCAAGGGGCCTCAGGACTAGGGCTTTGGGGAAGAACCTTTGCTTTTCCTTGAAGCCTTTCTGCAGATCTTTATTTCCATCCCTGCATGTCTATACTTTGTAAAAACTTGTGTAATTTTAAACGAGGTAACATGTAATAGTAACCAATGACAATGTATTACATTGCCTTTCCCTGTTACAAGTGAGACAGGGATGAAAAGGAATTACAGTTTAAAGAAGAAAGTTGGACCTGACTTGTTTTAGTTAAAGTGGTCCACTCAGGAGAGATCACAAAGAGAAAAACCTTTCCAGTAGTTGAATGGGAAAACCAGTAATAAGGCTCACGGTCCGACCGAGCAGTTCTGTCCCACTCCTTATCCTTAAGATACAAACACTTTCCCTGCTTCCCCTCGGGTTTCCAGGCAGATCAGGTAATAAGGCGAACGTCGAACAGAAGAGCACTGTCTTATTCCAGGCAGAGTTCAACCTCAGCTGTTCTGAGAACGATGACTTTTATAAATTAGTTTTGAAAAACTAGTCTCGACACCCTATGTCTCAGGATGCTGCATCACAGGAAAAGTGAAGGAAGGACCGGAAGTGACCCGGGCCACTGCCACTGCTGGCAAGCCCTACCTACCCTCGGACTCCCTGGCAGGGGCACCTCCTGGGGGGCTCTGGACCACCCCTGCCCCTCACCTGGGAGGCCCGAGCCTCCTCTGTGCTGAGAGAAGGGCTCCCAGCAGCAGTGCACTTATTCTTGTTTTTACCACCAGAAGTCAGGTCTACTGGATCCTTTTCCTTTCTACCAGAGGGAGGGAAGCCAAGATTTAATTATTAAAATCAAACAATGAAAAGCACAAGTTAGCGTTTATAGGCGTGCTACTAAATATGCATTTACTTATCATACACAAGGGGCTTCCCTGGTGGCTTGGTGGTAAAGAATCTGCCTGTGATGTAGCAGATGCGAATTTGATCCCTGGGTGAGGAAAATCCCCTGGCGGAGGAAATGGCAACCCATTCCAGTATTCTTGCCTAGAGAATTCCACAGAGAGAGGAGCCTGGCAAGACAGTCCATGGGGATGCAAAGAGTTGGACATGCCTGAGTGAGTAAACTACCACCATACCATTTAAAGAAAGCAGAGTTCATGGTGAGCTGGGCTCTGGATTGGGCAAAGTGGTAATTCTTTCCAGGTTGTCAGGTCTTATGAGGCACTGGACTATGGGAGAGTAAGCAAGTTGGCAACCAGGAGGTGGGGTGTGTGTGTGTGTGTGTATGTGTGTGTGATCATACACAAGAGTCTATGTATCATTCGGTGATAAATGAACTATTCCACACACTGATTATCGTGGCGTGTGTGTGTGTGTGTGTGTGAGATCGTACACAAGAGTCTATGTATCATTCAGTGATAAATGACCTGTTCCACACACTGATTATCGTGGGGTGTGTGTGTGTGTGTGTGTGATCACACACAAGAGCCTATGCATCATTCGGTGATCAATGACCAGTTCCACACATTGATAATCATGGGGGGGTGTGTGTGTGTGTGCGATAATACACAAGAGTCTATGCATCATTCGGTGATAAATGACCTGTTCCACACACTGATAATCATGGGGGGCGGGTGGTGTGATCACACACAAGAGTCTATGTATCATTCAGTGATAAATGACCAGTTCCACACACTGATTATCGTGGTGTGTGTGTGTGTGTGTGTGATCACACACAAGAGTCTATGTATCATTCAGTGATAAATGACCTGTTCCACACACTGATAATCATGGGGTGTGTGTGTGTGTGTGTGTGATCACACACAAGAGTCTATGTATCATTCGGTGATAAATGACCTGTTCCACACACTGATAATCATGGGGGGCGGGTGGTGTGATCACACACAAGAGTCTATGTATCATTCAGTGATAAATGACCAGTTCCACACACTGATTATCGTGGTGTGTGTGTGTGTGTGTGTGATCACACACAAGAGTCTATGTATCATTCAGTGATAAATGACCTGTTCCACACACTGATAATCATGGGGTGTGTGTGTGTGTGTGTGATCACACACAAGAGTCTATGTATCATTCGGTGATAAATGACCAGTTCCACACACTGATTATCGTGGTGTGTGTGTGTGTCTGTGTGTGTGTGTGATCATACACAAGATTCTATGTATCATTCAGTGATAAATGACCTGTTCCACACACTGATTATTGTGGTGTGTGTGTGTGTGTGTGTATCATACACAAGAGTCTATGTATCATTTGGTGATCAATGACCAGTTCCACACACTGATTATTGTGGTGTGTGTGTCTGTGTGTGATCATACACAAGAGTCTATGCATCATTTGGTGATAAATGACCAGTCCCACATACTGATTATGGTGGGGGGTATGTGTGTGTGTGTGTGTGTGTGATCACACACAAGAGTCTATGTATCATTCGGTGATAAATGACCAGTTCCACACACTGATAATCATGGGGGGTGTGTGTGTGTGTGATCATACACAAGAGTCTATGTATCATTTGGTGATCAATGACCAGTTCCACACACTGATTATCGTGGTGTGTGTGTGTGTGTGTGTGATCACACACAAGAGTCTATGTATCATTCAGTGATAAATGACCTGTTCCACACACTGATAATCATGGGGTGTGTGTGTGTGTGTGTGATCACACACAAGAGTCTATGCATCATTTGGTGATAAATGACCAGTTCCACACACTGATAATCATGGGGTGTGTGTGTGTGTGTGTGTGTGTGTGTGATCATACACAAGATTCTATGTATCATTCAGTGATAAATGACCTGTTCCACACACTGATTATTGTGGTGTGTGTGTGTGTGTGTGTATCATACACAAGAGTCTATGTATCATTTGGTGATCAATGACCAGTTCCACACACTGATTATTGTGGTGTGTGTGTCTGTGTGTGATCATACACAAGAGTCTATGCATCATTTGGTGATAAATGACCAGTCCCACATACTGATTATGGTGGGGGGTATGTGTGTGTGTGTGTGTGTGTGATCACACACAAGAGTCTATGTATCATTCGGTGATAAATGACCAGTTCCACACACTGATAATCATGGGGGGTGTGTGTGTGTGTGATCATACACAAGAGTCTATGTATCATTTGGTGATCAATGACCAGTTCCACACACTGATTATCGTGGTGTGTCTGTGTGTCTGTGTGTGTGATCATACACAAGAGTATGCATCATCTGGTGATCAATGACCAGTTCCACACACTGATTATCATGGTGTGTGTGTGTGTGTCTGTGTGTGTGATCATACCCAAGAGTATGCATCATTTGGTGATCAATGACCAGTTCCACACACTGATTATCGTGGTGTGTCTGTGTGTCTGTGTGTGTGATCATACACAAGAGTATGCATCATTTGGTGATCAATGACCAGTTCCACACACTGATTATCGTGGTGTGTCTGTGTGTCTGTGTGTGTGATCATACACAACAGTATGCATCATTTGGTGATCAATGACCAGTTCCACACACTGATTATCATGATGTGTGTGTGTGTGTGTGTGTGTGTGTGTGTGTGTGTGTGAGAGAGAGAGAGAGAGATCATACCCAAGACTCTATGTATCATTTGGTGATCAATGACCCTTTCCACACACTGATTATGGTGGTGTCTGTGTGTGTGTGTGAGATCACACACAAGAGTCTATGCATCATTCAGTGATAAATGACCGGTTCCACACACTGATCATCAATTTGTCCCTCAGGGAAAATCTGGAAGAAGCACAGGCCGTGTAAGCGTAGCACCGCAGCACAGCCCGGTGGACGGGTGCGGGAGGGCAGGTGGTTCACGTGGCCCCCGGGCCGGCCAGCGGTCACTCACCGGCCACGCGCTCCTCCCCCAGGTGCTCCAGCGGCAGGCGGATGGAGTCGTGCTCCACGGTGCAGGTGATGATGTGGGGCAGGGCCCTGTCCACTGGGCTGGGATGCCCGCCCGTGTCCCCGTTGGCGGTGTGGACTTTGTGGAAGTGCTTCACCATGGACTGGATTACTAAATTATTTGACTGCAGAGACAGAGCGGAAAGGTTACTTACAATAACCACCCAAGGGGAGCCGTCGAGTAACAATAGCTCTCATTTGTAGTTTCTTTTGTGGCTAACGTGGAAAAAAAAGGTCTCAAAGAAATTCAGCTCCTGAGCTGTGCCTTCTGAAAGACCCAGCTACAAAGATCTGGGGGTTTTCAGCTTTCAGAAATGTCAGAATTCACTTCTGGTGGATTCTGATTTTTGTTACTGTTGTTAAGCAACATTACACATTTACAGTTTTATAAATCTGTTAAAAAAGCATATTTTGCCCAGGCACCCACCACTGGTGTGAATGTGCACTGGCATAGCCCCTGTTAAGGGCCACCTGGTGCACTCACCAAGTAAGCCCTCCGGCCCAGGAGGTCTGTTCCTGGACTTGATCCTATAGCTGCACTTAAACAGAAGCCAAGCGATGGACGTGAAGTTGGTCAGATGTACAAAGATGAAGCAGCAAAATCCTAGACGCCTCAATGTCTATCAATAAGGGGGCTTGGTAAAGAATTACACATTGTTAGGTGGACACCAAGCAGATGTAACAGCATCGAGGGACCACTCCACAGGCTGATGCCAAAGATCTCAAAGGCACTTGTTAAATGAAAGAAGGTAGCATGCACTGGATGCAGCATCCTACAGTCTGTATAAAAAGGGCAAGACACATACACATTCACACATACACCCCTCCCCGCCACATCCTTCCTTGAAGAGGTAAAATAGGAAGGAGAGAAGAGAAGAATTATCTACACCTTTAGCTGCATTTGGACTTCCCTGGTGGCTCAGATGGTAAAGTGTCTGTCTACAATGAGGGAGACCTGGGTTCGGTCCCTGGGTCGGGGAGATTCCCTGGAGAAGGAAACGGCAACCCACTCCAGTATTCTTGCCTAGAAGATCCCATGGATGGAGGAGCTTGGTGCAGGCTACTGTCCATTGGGTCGCAAAGAGTCAAGCACGACTGAGCAACTTCCCTTTCTTTCCCTTTAGCTGCATTTAAGGCAAAGACTGTCTCTGCAGGACTCAACAGAAACTAACTATACTGGTCTCCTGTAGGGACGGGAAGTGGATAACTGAGGAGATGGGGTGGGAGATTTTTGTGTCAAATCTTTTTCTCTTATTATTATAACAGTATTATTCTTCTTCTTCTCATTATTATTATATATGGGCTTCCCTGGTAGCTTAGCTGGTAAAGAATCTGCCTGCAATGCAGGAGACCCCGGTTTGATTCCTGGCTTGGGAAGATCCGCTGGGGAAGGGATGGGCTACCCACTCCAGGATTCTTGGGCTTCCCTGGTAGCTCAGCTGGTAAAGAATCTACCTGCAATGCAGGAGACCTGGGTTGGATCCCTGGGTTGGGAAGATCCCCTGGAGACGGGAACAGCTACCCACTCCAGTATTCTGGCCTGTAGAATTCCATGGACAGTATAGTCCAAGGGGTCACAAAGAGTTGGACACAACTGAGCGACTTTCACTTCACTCTTGTTATTAAATTTAACATACGTGCAGAAGAGCACAGAAATCTAAGTTTAATGAGAAAGTATGACAGTGAACATCTGAGTAACAGTAACCTGGATCAAGACAAAAAAACACAGCCCCTACTTAGGGACCCCCCAACTTGCTCTCAATCACCACCTCCCCAACCCCAGCTAATTGCCACCCTGATTTGTATAGTAATCATTTTCCTGCTTGTCTTTACATGTTTCCTTCCTGTGTAAGCATTCCTAACCAATTTTGCCAATTTTGCCTCTTTTGGACCTTCATATGAATGGAATTGAACTGAACTGATCTTTTTCTCAACTGAACATCCAACCTATTCAGGTATCCGAAGGCACCACCTGCGGGAAGGTGGGGCGTGTGCTTGCTCGGTGGCAAGGAGCCCCGCACTCTGTCACCCGGCGGGGACTGCAAAGGCTCTGAGCGTGTAAATAGGGGGCCCTGGGGGAGAACAAGGCAGCTGATGCAGGGACTCCAAGACCTGAGACCCATCAACCTGGGTGATGGGGAGGAGAGGGTCAGGATGAACAGCTTGGATGCGCTTCTCTGAGTGGCGGGTGGTTCTTTATAGAGTCCCACCCCCTTCTGAGAACACTGCTGCCCACACAGTGATTTCTGGTCCAGAAAGGGGGGGTCCTCGGGGGCTGCATATCTCAGGTCAGAGCTGCTGGAGGCGCTGGGAACACCAGCAGCCTCTGTGGGAATCAGCTGGTCACAACTGAAAATGCACTGCGTGCCCTCAGGCCAACAGGCTGCTTGGCACCTGGTCCCAGACGAGATCAAGATGGCCCACAGGGCAGCCAGGGCGACTCCGTGCAGGCCATCAGGAGTCTGGAGCCGGTGTGCGGGGGTGGTCACTGCCCAGGGGCCTGTCAGCGCCCTGCACCCCAACCCGGCCCCTGTGGCCGGGGTCAGCTAGTCTCGGGCTGGCACCCTCCAAGCCGCACCTGGGAGTCCTCCAGCTGCTGCAGGGCACCGGCTGGTACCCTCCACCTGGGACTGCCCCAGAGACGTGAGCACCCGTCAGTGCTGTTTGGAGGGACGTGTGGGTGATCCCTGGTCTCCAGCTGTCCCAAAGGCGCCATGAGTGCTCCTACCTGCTCCTGGTGTCCACATGCCCCATTTTTCTCGGGCATGTCCCCGAGCGGAGCAGCTGGCTGACAGGGCGACATGGCCTCAGTTTTGCCAGGAGGCGCCCGCCCGCCTTCCAGCATGGTTTCCAGCCTGCGCCCCCATCTGCCCTGTGCTCTATACCTCCTGCCATTGGACCTCTTGCTTCTTCCATCCTGACAGGTGGGCAGAGGCACACATGTTGCTGTTTACCTTTGATCCTGACCAATTATGAAGCTGAGAACCTTTTCCCATGTAGAAACCACAGGGGCGTCTCCTTGGTGCAGGGTTTAACGTCTCTTGCCCGTTTTCTACTGGATTGTCTGCAGGTATATTCTGGATGCGAGTCTTTTGTCAGTTACTTGCTGCAAACATCTCCCAATGCCTGGCTGGTCTTCTGATTTCCTTCAGGGTTCACTGATGATCTACAGTTTGTTTTGTGGTGATGGCAGAATTTATCAATCTTTTATAGTTAAGGGTTTCTGTATTTTATTTAGCAAATCTATCACTCTTCAGCGTCACAAGGGCCAGGGCTCGTCACGTGACAAGGGCCCATTCAGGTATGGCCCTGTGTCTGGCCCAGTGTCTCTCATTGCCCTAAGACCGTCTGTCTTAATTCATAGAGCAATTCATTACATTCTTAATCTTCAAGAAGTCTTGGCTATTCTTGGCATTTTGTATTTCCATGTGGTGAGGCGCCATGAAAAAAGGAGTCAGAATTCTGACCAACGTTGCACTGAATCCATAGACCTAAAGAGCTGACACAGCTATATTGAGTGTTCCCCTCTGTGAACATGATATATGCTCCATTATTCAGAACTTCTTTGAAGGCTCTCAGTAATAAATTCTATTCCTTTCCCAATGTGTATATGTATTGGGGTGGGGAGTGGTTTACAAAATCTTTTTACTAGATTTATTTCCTAAGTATTTGATATTTTTTGGTACTCTGATAAATATGCGTTGTTGATGGTACATAAAAATATACTTGATTTTTTTTTTAATCTAATAACTTTGCTAAATTTACTTACTAATAATCTAGCTACAGATTCTTTTTTTTTTTTTTTAATATGAACAGTAACATCACCTGTGAGGGACCTTCCTTTCCAATAAGGAAATGAGATGGTAAGACTGACTGAGTAGAGGCCTTGATGCCATCAAACCGTCATTGAGAATCTTCTATCAATTTAAAAAGGAATACCTTTCAAATGGGTCAAACCTCACACTTGTTTTTTTTTAATCAGAGTATGGTTGATTTACAATGTTGTGTTAGTTTCAGGGGTACAGCAAAGTGATTCTGTTATACACACATTCTTTCTCAGATTCTTTTCCATTACAAGTTATTACTGGACACTGAATATAGCTGCCTGTGCTGTGCACAGGTCTTGGTTGTTTATCTGTTTTATATGTAGTGGTGTGTATATATTAACCCCAAATTCCTAATTTCTCTCTTCCTTGCCCCGCTTCCCCTTTGGTAACCATGGCTTCTTCTAAGTCTGAGAGTCTACTTCTCTTTTATAAATCAGTTCACTTGTATCATTTTTTTTAAAAAGATTCCCTGTACAAGAGATATCATATAATACTTGTCTTTCTCTGAGTTACTTCCCTCAGCATGTATCATATATATGTACCATTATCTTCTTTATTCACTTATCTGTTGATGGACATTTAGGTTGCTTCCATGTCTTGGCTATTGTAAATAGTGCTGCTATGAACACTAGGGTGCACGTATCTTTTTGAATTAGGGTTTTCATCTTTTCTGGGTATATGCCCAGGAGTGGGATTGCTGAATCATATGGGAACTCTATTTTTAATTTTTAAGGCACCTCCATAGGGCTTCCCTGGTAGCTCAAATGGTAAAGAATCCACCTGCAATGTGAGAGACCTGGGTTTAATCCCTGGGTTAGGAAGATCTTCTGGAGAAGGGAATGGTTACCCACTCCAGTATTCTTGCCTGGAGAATTCTATGGACAGAAGAGCCTGGCGGGCTACAGTCCATGGGGTCCCAAAGAGTTGGACATGACCGAGTTACTAAGCACACACATACTGTTCTCCATAGTGGCTGCATCAATTTACATTTCCACCAACCATGTAGGAGGGCTCCCTTTTCTCCATACCCTCCCTAGCATTTGTTGTTTATAGATGTTTTGATGATGGCCATTCTGACTGCAAACCTCTTAATAAGGTAAACTTAGGGATATAAAGGAATGATTCCAGGGCAAAATGAAGGAGACACTCTCTTTATTGAGACAGCAATGCAAAGCAAGTTAATTCATACGTTAGGTAACAAATATCCTATCAGCCCCCTGGAATTCACTTACAGGATAAATACTGCCTACTAATATCAGGCTAATTTGCAAAAATACCAGGACAAAGCATTACTCTTTAAAAGACAATAATACCAAGAGGGCACCATCTCATACTTTTTAAAAAATAACTGAAAGTTAAAAGAACACAAAACTTCGAACTGTTTACCTCAGTGCCCCCTGAAGTGAAGATCACATCCTGAGGCTGCCCACCTATCATCTTGGCGAGGTTCTCCCGGGCTGTGTTGATAATCTCCTTGGCCTTCCTACCTGGAGGAACCAAAGTGGAAATTCAGTAACTTGGCTGCACCAAATCCAATCAACATACATTGAAAGGAGCAACCAGACATGAGGGAGCAGGTTGCTCAGTGGGCAGTTCTAGGACAACACGTGTTCACTAATGTGAGTGACAGCCTAGATATTATGTGGCGAAGGGACAGCTAATCAGGGGAAACTACTGAGACTAAAGGAACTTGGGAGGAGCTAGAGACAGCCGGGGGAGGAGGCCGGAGCCCTAAAATTCTGAGTGGCTTTCTTCTTACCCGACGCTACGGGTGAGGATCTGTGGCCATCTGCCCCGCTTCCCATTCGGGAAGATGGGAGAAGGAAAGGGTGGAGTAATAGATCATGCTGCAAAACAACAAAAATAAGCAGAAATAGAACCCATGACTTCTCAACACAAAGTCTAGCACCATATGTCACAGTGCAGGTCCCCTCAGTCACTAGACAGGTCACTGCCCCAGGGACCCATTTGCTTCCAAACCTGGGCTCGGAGCCCAGCTAGCCCTAGTTTCATGGGAGAGCAGGAAACAGGAACTGAGCTTCACGTGGTGGAGAAAGAAGGGCTCAGGAAAGGAATTCTGGAGATGTCCATGACCATTCATACTTCGACTACAGACCAGTAGCCTCCAGACCTTTTGACCATTCAGTCTTATTTGCAAAAATACTTTTTTGAGCAGGTAAAGCTATAATAAATATGTAAATAGAAAACACACATAAAGATAAAAATGTAAAAAGATGCAGTTAAAATACATATACAAAGTCATCCACACACTGCCTAAGACTACTGAGTTAAGTTTTCATTACAAGTTAGGAAAGTCTGCAGTGTTTAGGAGACCCAGTCAGTTCAATTAGGGATACTTGAAAGACTGTGATCAGCATCAGTCAACATGGGCAGGAGCACCGTGGACACCGTGAGCCCTTGGGGATGCCTCTCGGCTCGTCCACCCGCTCCCTCCCCATCCTGCCCCAGGATTCTGTTGAGAAGCCACTCAGAGGAGCCGCTGGGCTGGTCCTCTGCCTACCCCACCTTCCCTCCCCACAGCAATCCTGTGGCCCATGTGGTGTGCAGCAGCCTGCAGCCTTTTTCGACCCACTGACAGACCTTTGTCTAAGCGTTTCTTTTCTTTTCCCTTTTCAGAACTGGGTTTCATAATTTACATACTGGTTTGCAAAAACTCCCCCTTCCACTTATCGACAAAGTCTTGGAGACCCTTCTATGTAAGGATTCGTGGGGTTACCTCTCTACCGTCATGTGCCTATTAGAACAGCTAAAATGAAAAGACTGGCCAGTCCAAGTGGTCAGGAGGTTGTGGAGGAAATGCAACTCTCATCACGCCAGTGGGAACACAAAATGGCACAAGCATTTTGGAGAGAGGTCAGCGGTTTCTTAAGAAGTCTAACCTCCTCTTCCCATCCGATCCCACCATCCCACTCCTAGGTGCTTAAGGTATAAACATTGTTTACCCAAGAAAAAAGAGGCGATGACCATGACTCGTACATCGACATTCACAACAGTGTCATTTACAATCGCCAAGAACCGGGAACGGCTCACACACCCGTCAGCAGATGAGAACATGAGCACAGCATAATAGACTACCACCCGGCAGGGCAGACAGACCAGCTGCTGACAATCAAACAGGTCAGTCTCAAGGTAACTATGCTGACCAAAAGAAGCCAGATGAAAAACTGGTAAGATTCCATGTTTATACAAACACAGAAAATGCCCACCGCTCACAGGGCAGGACGAGAGCCTCTTCCTGAGGGTTATTCCTAAACTTCTTCATGACAAATGCCTTTTATTAGCACTCAATTGTTTTCCACATTCTCCAGTTTTATGCGTCAGAAAGTTCAGTTTCTCTAGAGGAAGATTAGCTACAAGGCAAAGTCCAAAAGATTAACCAGAATACATGTACAAAATAAACCAACAATGAAGTTAATGAATGACTACTATCTAATTTTGAAAAGGCTTTTAATTACCAAGTTTACTAAGCAAATGAACATGAAAACCCACAGAAGCCTGTAAATCTGTACACAAGTATTGTTAAGTCAGAGGCTTCCCTGGTGGCTCAGCAGTAAAGAACCTGCCTGCCAATGCAGGAGACCCAGGTTCCATCCCTTGGTCAGGAAGATCTCCTGCAAAAGGAAACAGCAACCCACTCCAGTACTCTTGCCTGAAAAATTTCATGGACTGAGGAGCCTGGCCGGCTTCAGTCCATGGGGTTGCAAAGAGTCGGACATGACTTAGTGACTAAAACAACACTGCTAAGTCAATTCTAAAGGAAACCAACCCTGAATATTCACTGGAGGGACTGATGCTGAAGCTGAAGCTCCAATACTGTGGCCACCTGACGCAAAGAGCCGACTCAGTGGAAAAAACCCTGATGCTGGGAAAGACTGAAGGCAAAAGGAGAAGGGGACAGCAGAGGATGAGCTGGTTAGACAGAATCACTGACTCAATGGACATGAGTTTGAACAAACTCCGGGAGACAGTGGCTTCCCTGATAGCTCAGCTGATAAAGTATCTGCCTGCAATGCAGGAGATCCTGGTTCAATTCCTGGGTCGGGAAGATCCACTGAAGAAGGGACAGGCTATACACTCCAGTATTCTTGGGCTTCCCTTGTGGCTCAGCTGGTGAAGAATCCACCAGCAATGCGGGAGACCTGGGTTCCATCCCTGTGTTGGGAAGATCCCCTGGAGAAGGGAATGGCAACCCACTGCAGTATTCTCACCTGGAGAATTCCACAGACTGCATAGTGTGTAGTCCATCAGTCCATGGGGTCACAAAGAGTTGGACATGACTTAGCAACTAAACAACAACAACAATTGTTAAGCCCTATCCCATGAACCGAGGAGCGTGGTAGGCTGTAGTCCATGGGGTCAACAAAGAGTCAGACACGCCTGAGCAACTTAGCACGCACACAGCATGCATCCCTGATAAAACTTTAAATAAGAAGGCACAGCTTCAGCTCACCATCTGCAAAATAAAACGTGACTCAGCCAAGTAACTACTGATCTAAAGCAAATTATTTTGCAGAACCTCTAACTTAAAGCTCTACAGGGAATCAACAATAAATGAGAAACATATTTCCAACAGACTGTGGAAAATTCTTAAAGAGATGAGAATACCATACCACCTGATCTGCCTCCTGAGAAATCTGTATGCAGGTCAAGAAGCAACAGCATGGAACAACAAACTGGTTCCAAATCAGGAAAGGAATACATTAATGCTGTAAATTGTCACCCTGCTTATTTAACATATATGCAGAGTACATCATGAGAAATGCCAGACTGGATGAAGCACATGCTGGAATCAAGATTGCCAGGAGAAATATCAATAACCTCAGATATGCAGATGATACCACCCTTATGGCAGAAAGTGAAGAACTAAAGAACCTCTTGATGAAAGTGAAAGAGGAGAGTAAAAAAGTTGGCTTAAAACTCAACATTCGAAAAACTAAGATCATGGCATCCAGACCCATCACTTTATGGTAAATAGATGGGGAAACAATGGAAACAATGCCAGATTTTATTTTTGGGGGGCTCCAAAATCACAGCAGATGGTGACTGCAGCTATGAAATTAATAGATGCTTGCTTCTTGGAAGAAAAGTAATGACCAACCTAGACAGCATTCTAAAAAGCAGAGACATCACTTTGCCAACAAAGGTCCATCTAATAAAAGCTATGGTTTTTCCAGTAGTCATGTATGGATGTGAGAGTTGGATTGTAGAGAAAGCTGAGTGCCAAAGAATTGATGCTTTTGAACTGTGGTGTTGGAGAAGACTCTTGAGAGTCCCTCGGACTGCAAGGAGATCCAACCAGTCAATCCTGAATATTCACTGTGAGGACTGATGCTGGCCATCAATACTTTGGCCATCTGATGCGAAGAATGGACTCATTGGAAAAGACCCTGATGCTGGGAAAGATTGAAGGCATGAGGAGAAGGGGATGACAGAGGATGAGATGGTTGGATGGCATCACCAACTCGATGGACATGAGTTTGAGTAAGCTCCAGGAGTTGGTTATGGACAGGGAAGCCTGGCGTGCTGCAGTCCATGGGGTTGCAGAATCGGATATGACTGAGCGACTGAACTAAACAGAAAGAACTTTAAAGTAATTTTTATTTTTAAAAAAGGAGGCCAGGATTCTATGTGATCCTGATTATGTAAAAGATCTAGTTTGCAAATTTTGTAAGGATCGACAGAGACAGATACGTGACAGGGTCTTAATAAGTACTGTTATTACAAACAACTTTTTTTTTTCGATTGCGCCTTGCAGCAAACAGGGTCTTAGTTCCCTGACCAGGGATCAAACCCACGGCCCCCTGCATTGGGAGCACAGAGTCTTAACCAGTGGACCGCCAGGGAGGTTCCCTACAAGCAGCTCTTAATACGACATTTTTTTCATCTGGGAAAGGGGGACAGGAGAGCATGTTAAAGATGAAAGATTATGGTATCAACAAAGCTCAAATTTGGTCTTTTCAGAAAAAAAAAAACAAAACTATCCAGAATTACAGCTAAAGACATGCGGTTAACAGAAAATCCACTCAAAACCGAGTCATGCCATATGGTGTAGAGTTCCTGCACGAGTGCCCCTCCCCCTCATCTCAGATCTGGGCATGTCTTCTAGAATTACCTGCTGGGTAAGAGCTACTGGGATTTCCCCAGGCTTCCCGCATGGCCTCTGTCATGGCCTCAATCACTTCTGGCTCCAGGGGGGTGGTTGCATTATAGTCCATATACACTTTCCTGCTGGAGAGAAAACAAAGACGTGCCTCTTCAGGACAAGATGAAATGTGGAAAAACAGCTGCACTCAGTCTATGTTGTCAGCAGGAGCAAACAATGACAAGGTTGGGGCTTTTCTGCAATTACACTGTGTGCTTAGGAAGGCCCACATCTGCATCCCTTTCGGAAAATGTGTACATGATTTCTGATTATCTAGTGTTCTTGTCTGGAGAATCCCATGGACAGAGGAGCTTGGTGGGCTACAGTTCGTAGGGTAGCAGAGAGTCAGACATGACTGAAGTAGCTTATAGGAGGAGGAGTATTTGCTGGTTTCCTTTATCACTGCTGGGAGACTGTCCACTTAGACTTCCAGAGCTTCTTTCCATCCCATGTTGCTTCCTTCTAATGCAAGGGGGGAACCTTGCAGGCCCAGGGAGTCACACATTCCTGAGGGCTTTTCCCCTGGTGTTTGAACTTCACCACTTCACTGGCAGTTTTCCTGTATTTCCCGGTGGTGTCTGTGATGGCCTTGAGGCTCGGGTGACCAAGGTTTCCATGGTTCCTCTCACGGCCCCTCTGTGTTCCCTGCACTGCAGTCTCAGGGACTTCTCTCTTTGCATTTTCTGTTTTCTTTGCCTGTAATGACGATGCCCTCCACCACTGCCTTACTTTTTAGGTCTTTGCTCCAACTTGACCTCATGAGGCTAGTTTCTAAATGAAACTGCAGCCACCCCTGCCCTCCTCCCCAGGGCTCTATGTCCCCCTGCTTCTCTGCAGCACCCCATCATCTAACACACGAGTCTTGCCCCTTGTTAATTCTCTGCCTTGATAGAATGTAACTGAACAGCAGCTCCACGAGCTCCCATATTCCTCCCAGGTGTGTCGCCAACACTGAGGACAACGGCTGGCACACAGTAGGGGCTTGACATATAAGGTGACAAATGTCATAAGAAAGTGCGCAGCCCCTGAAAGATTCCTAGGTGAAATTTACCTGTGTGTGTGTGTGTATATATATATATATATATATATATATATATATATATATATATATATATATTTATCAGAATCAAAGACTTTCAAGCACAGGGAACTCTACTTAACACTCTGTAATGGCTTATATGGGAAAAGAACCTTAAAAAAAAGGAATGGACACATGTATATATATAACTGATTCACTTTGCTGTACAACTGAAACTAACACAGTACTGAAAATCAACTCCAATAAAAATTTCTTAAAAATCTCAGAAACGTTCATGAATGTATATAGCAGACAATCCTGTCAGATACTATTCATTATTTTACCTGATTTTTAAGTCAACAATAGTGTTCAAGCCAATTCACACGTAAATTTAAACACAATTACCAACGGTGGCTGCTAAACACATTTTTAAAAATCCATGGAGTGTTTGAATGCAACATCTTGTCTCTAAGATGCCCAAGTACAGGGCTTTGGGGCTTGGGAAATATGACCAGCATTCCTTGACCACCCTAGGATTAGGAATCCCTGCTGCTGAGAATTAAATCTGCTTGTGTCCCTAACTCTGCTCTCACTTCCGGTAAGTATTTTGAAGTTCCTCAAACTACTAGTGACCACAGCTCTTCAATCTCCTGCTTGGCTGAGTTAATTCATAGCTTGAATTTCAGACGAACGCATCGTAGATTACTCTGCCCCAGTATGTGCTGCTTCTTTAAAGTGTTATCAATATTGCATGGGAAAAGTAAACTTGGTTAGATTCGTAACTGAAAAATGAAAAGGCATCGTGAATCTCTGCCTTCAGTCAGTACGTTTTCCTTCTTAGCTCCCTTTTCTCCGGCCCAGACAAATGAAACCGAAAGAAAGGGCAGTCAGATTTAGGCCTAGACCCAAATGTTAAAGATACAAACCCATTTCTCACATTCGGTAGAGAGGATTACCCCCTCCCCCGCGAAAGTATTTAACAAATTCTTGGATTCAGGATGAAGACTCTCAAACACACCCAAAGCATTTCCGGCCGGACCCCCCACCCCCAGGGCGAGAAGGTCCCAGCACCGGTGGACTGAGGTATCTCCCAGTCTTGCTCCCCACTCTGCCAGCTGCTCAAGCCTGGGAGCTTCCTTTTTAATACTCCCACCCCCCGACTCCTTCCCTCACCCCCACCGCCCCACCCCCAACCCCCCGCTTCGAGCAAGCATCAGCAAGTCGGGCAGGTTTTGTCAGGTACTTTCGCTTCTCCGCCACGCCTGCGCCCGCAGAGGTCCACTTCACCTCTGCCTCCCAGATGATTTCAAAAGATTCCTAACGGGTTTTCCTGATTGCTGCAAACCCTGACTCCCTACCAAGGAGCCAGGAGTCCTGTAAAATATACAACAGCAACCTATAATGTAATTAAATTACATCACTTCCCTTATAATATAATTAAATTACATCTGCTCAAACTTCCAGGAGCACCATCGCAGTGACAATACGCCCCAAGGTCTTCCCCGGATCCTGCCGGTGGACAGCTGCCCCAGGCCCTACGGTCCGCGGCCCGCGATCCGCGGTCCCCGCCTCCCGGGACCGCGCGGGCTCGTTCCTAGAACCCGTGCTGCGGACTCCTGAGTGTCCCTGGGGTTTTCGGCCCGAGCGTCACCTCTCCGGAGCCCTTCCCAGGCCCCGCCGTTGCGCCGCTCGTCCTCCCGGCGGTCATCGTTTCATCCTGCACGGACCCTCCCGCGCGGGAGTGACCGGCCAGCTGGCATCCCGCTCCCCGGGAAAGCCCCGTTCCGCCGAGAGCGGCCGGCGGCCCACCGCCCCTCGGGGAATGACCACCCGCCGCCGCCGCCACCGCCACGCGGCGCCTGGAGGGCTTCTTGGAGGAGCGCGCCGACGGCTCTCCCCACCTTCCCCTCAAGGAGCGCACCTCTCGGGCGGGCTCTTCTCCGCTCGACCCCGCGCGTCCCTGCTCCGCGCCCCAGCCGCCTCCATCCTGACCCCACCGCGGCCCGTTTCCAGCCAGCCAGCCCCCTCAGGCGAGGCCCAAACCCGCGGAGCCTGTCACGGTTCGGAGCGCCGCCGGGAGGGGGCGGGGCCTCGGGCGCCGGGGCCGTGCGGATTGGCTGAGCCGCGCAGCTTCGGCCAATCCTCGCGCTGCAGCGGCGCTCCGCGGGGAGGTGGGGACCCCGGTCGCGCGCGCTGAGGAGAAGGGCTGGGGGCGGGGCTTCAAGAGAGTCACGGGGGCGTGGTCACGTCGGCGGCGCGCGGGCGGGCGAGGCGCGCAAGGAGGGGCGCTCCGCGGGGAGACAGGTCCCCTGACGCGCGCTCTGAAGAGAAGGCTGGGGGCGGGGCTTCAAGCGCGCCGTGGGGGCGTGGTCACGGCGGCGGCGCGCAAGGAGGAGGTGCCCGACCCGGGCCGGCGGGGCTCCAGTCGCCGGTCCGCCTACGTCCGCTCGGCTGGAGCCGTCGTCAGCCGAGGCCGGTAGGCCGTACCTTTCGCCTCCTCGGTGACCCGACCCTCTGCGCGGGTGACTTCGGGCTCGTCTCTCAAGGGTAGGTCTGAGGGACCAGGCGAGACCCGAGGGACACCGCCCGGGGCGCGGGGCAGGGCGTCTGGAGGGCCTAGGCAGCGGGGACGCCGCCGGGCACGCGGGAGCGAGGGGAGAAGCAGCGCCGGTACCCGGACGGGAAGGCGCCCAGGCCGGCGGAGCACGATCTGTCGGATGGGAGTGTCTAGCGTTCGTGCATCCCGCCGACCGTAACGCGAGTTGGTTGCGAAAGCGGTGAGAGGGCGAGGATGCAGATTCCTGAATGCTAACGAGCCGCCCACCGCCTCTTGCCCTTTTGGCAAGTTAACAGTTTCTGAGTTTGAGCGCCGAGCGTGTGCCAGGCGGTATTCCAAGCGCCTGTCGTGTGTTCACTAGTTTCGTCTTGGCATCACCTTTATCCAGTGGGTACCTGGCAGCTCCACCTTACACGCGAGGACGTTCAGGTAGAGGAAAGGCCAGCATCTTGCCCACGTTCACACGGGGAGGAATGGAGCCAGAATTGAACGCAGGAATTTTAGTTGGATTTTTGTAGACTTGTTCAATGTTATCTCCTGGCAGGGTCCAGAAGTTGTCTTTTGCAGCTCAGCAAGCCTCTTTCCTTTCTGGATTCTTTATTTCCTTTCATTCCTGCATGCAAACCGAGCTCATGTCTTGCCAAATGCAGTCTGGAGCAAAAGACACATGAAAATTTAAGAAGCAAATAGATATACAGAAGCTCAGGGCCAGTGAAAAGAAGAGGAAACAGAATGAAGAGTGTCAAGAGCACAGGTAGTAGTTGAGAGGAAGTCTGAAGTGTCTACTGTATATAACTGGCAGGAGATACTCATGATTTTGTGAAAGGAATTTCAGGAGAGCAGTGGGGGAGGGTGAGAGTGCAGCACTGAGGAAGCAAGGAGACAGGAAGAGATGGAGGATGTAGCCAGCTCTTCAGAAGGCTGAGGAAGGAGGTAAGAAGGGGCACAGGATGAAGGGGCTGAAGGAAGGCAGCTAACAAGAAAGCTGAAGATGAAGAGGTAAAAAGTCCTGGAGGCAGTGAGCAGGTAGGAGGTTAAGAGCAGAGGTGGGTGGGGAAGTTGACAGGTGGGGGGCAGGTTTCATTCTCTGTATCTGTATGGAAGGCTGTCAGGATGGGAGCTGGAGAGGCCAGGGACTACCCACAAGGGGACCGATCCAGCCCTCCTTGGACCAGTTAGGCAGCAGTTAGAGGGTTTGTGTTTCCAGGTGGCTACATCGACGGTAGTGGTGGAGTCGAGAGGTGAGAGTGCCCCACACTCAGGACCGTGGCCTGGACTCCACTCTTCCTAAAAGCAGCAGCAGCCACATGATCCCGAGTGGGCTGGTCACACACGCAGCAGATGCCTGCAGAGGATACTTATGAAATCAGTGCCCAGTGAAGATCAAATATTTGAGGAAATGCCATCTCCATGGCAGTGAAATAGTAAATGCAGCAAACAGCTCATAGCTAAGGGGAGAAGTCATAGAGCAGAGCAAGTCCTCAGAGAAGAAAGGTCTCCAAGGAGAAGGTTCAGCCACTCAGTCATGTCTAACTCTTTGCAACCCCATGGACTGCAGCTCACTCAGGCTTCCGTGTCCATCACCAACTCCCAGAACTTACTCAAACTCATGTCCATCGAGTCGGTGATGCCATCCAACCATCTCATCCTCTGTCGTCCCCTTTAAGGAGTCAAGGGAGCATCTTGTTTCTTTAAAAAGGCAGTCATAAGAAAAAGCAACAGTTAAAAAAACCAACTGGATGGAAACTATAATAATTGAGATTTAAAAACTCAATAGAGGGGACTTCCTTGGTGGTGTGGTGATTAAGAATCTGCCTTGCAAGCGGGGGATGTGAGTCTGATCGCTGGTGGGGAAACTAGGATCCCACGAGAACTGGAGCCACTGGGGCCGAGCTCTGCAGCTGCTGAGCCCGTGTGCCACAGTGGGAGAGCCTGCGTGAGGCAACCCCAGCCTTGGACCGAGGTTAGGGCCTGCCACAGTCACACACAGAAATTAAAATTTTAAAAAAGAAAGAGTGAGAAACACTCAGTGGAGTTGCCAGGGATAGGGAGTCAGGCGAGCATGAACAGGCAGAGCACAGAGAATGTTTAGGGCAGTAAAACCACTGTACATGATAGTATAACAATAGATGCATGTCATCATACGTTTGTGGAAACTCATAATGTCAGACACCAAGAGTGGACCCCAGTGTCAACTAGGGACTGTGAATGACAGTGATGTTTCCGTGTAGGTTCAGCAGTTGTAACAAATGTCTTACATCTGTGTGATGTCAGTAGTAGAGGAGGTTAGACATGTAGGGGACAGGGTGATATGGGAACTCTGTTCTGCTCAATTTCTCTGGGAACCTTTAAAACTGCTCTGAAAAATAGTCAGTTTTTTAAAAAGTCAATAAATAGGCTGAATAGAACAGGCATAAAGAGTGAATTAATGCATTAAATGCCTAAGCAGAGGAATTATCTCAGATTATTGGTCAAAAACACAGAGATGCAAAATATGAAAAGTGATTCTGTACCAGGAGTGGTTTTTTTCCCTCCAGGGGACATTTAACAATGTCTAAAACGTTGGCTGTCATCACTGTGGTCGGTGCTTTTGGGATCTGTTAATAGCTCGTAAGGCCATATATGCGTTAACCACCCTACAATGCACTGGCCAGTCCAACTAGGAGCCACATCTGGCCTAGTGTCAACTTAGTGTAACCCTGATGTGGTTCTATATTCCCACTTGATATCATATCTGAGGACTTTGTTCAAAGTTCCTTGCAGTGTTCATCTGCTGGCATGACTTTCAGCTTTTGTATGTATGAGAAACATTTTGCCTTCACCTTTGATACCTTCCCCAGATACAGAATTCTCACTTGAGATTTTTCTTTCAATAAAGTTTTCTTCTCCACTGTTTCCTTGCTCACATTCTTTCCAACGGGAAACCTGCAATCACCCTTTTCTACGTTCCTCTATACATTATGTGTCTTTATTTCTTGACTGCTTTTAATATTTTTGCTCTGGTACTGATTTTAAGCAATGTAGAATGTGATTTGATGTAGTTTTCCTCACGTTCTTGTGCTTTGAAGTTGTTGACCTGGTATCCGTGGGCTTGGAGCATTTATCAACTTGGAAATCTTTTAGTAATTAAATCTTCAAATAATTTTCTCTCTCCCCTGCTCCTTTGGGAACTCCAATTACAAGTTTATTGGGCTGCATGAAGTTTGCCCACAGCTCACTCAAGTTGAGTGTTTTTTCCTTAGATGTACCGCCACCCACCAGTTTTCATTTTTTTATTGCTGTCTTCAAGTTCATAAATCTTTTCTTCAGCAATATGTAACCTGTTGTTAAACCCATCCAGTATACTTTTCATCATGTCTGTTTTTCTTCAGAAAACTGAATTTGTGTCTTATATTTTCCACATCTCTACTTAACACGAGTAGTCTTTTCTTGATCATCTTGAGTTGTTTTAACTCTCTGATCTATTAATGCTATCATATTTGATAAGACTCTGTTTCTGTAGACTGATTTTTTCCTCCCCTCTGACCATGGATGTTATTTACTTGCTTCTTGCATACCTTGAAGTTTTGTGTTGTATACTAGGCATTGTAAATTTTACCTTCTTGGGTGCTGGGTGTATAGTTTACTTAAAAATTTTATTGGGACCCTTATAGGTTTACATGCAGTTGTAAAAATGATGTGAAGTCCTTTACTCAGTTTTTCACAATGGTAACATCTCCCCAAACCAGAGTAATCCACTCTGCAAATCTTTGTCTTTTAGTGTATTAGACCATTTACATATAATTATTAAGTGGTAATAAATCTTAAATCTACCATTTTATTATTTATTTTCTATTTGTTTCATCTGGTTTTCAACTGTTTCTCTTTGCTTGTCTTCCTGTGGATAATTTGAACATTTTCCAGTATTACACCTTAATTTCTTCATAATGTTTAAAAAGAGATAGATCCATATACCATAAAATTAACCCTTTTAAAGTGTATAGTATTCATAGGTTATGCAACTAAGTACATCTAATCCCAGCACATTTTCATCACCCCCAGCAAGAAACACTGTACTCATTTCCTCTTCCCCACAGCCCTAGCAACAACTAGCTACTTTCTATCTCTGTAGATTTGCCTTGTCTGGGTATTTCATATAAATGGAATCATAAAGCATGTGGCCTTTTGTGTCTAGCTTCTTTCAGTTAGGATACTGTTTTCAAGGTTTCAACCCATGTTGTAGCATGGTATAAGTAATTCCTTTTTGTTGATGTTCACTGTTCCTTTCCCCGGGGATTCCACATTTCATTTTCCCATTCATCACTTGACGAGCATTTACCCTGTATCCAGTTTTTGACGATGATAAATAGTCTGTTGCGGTGCATGGGCTTTCTCTAGTTGCTACGCTTAGGCTCTAGAGCGTGCAGGCTCAGTGGTTGCTGTACAGACT